GCCCTGCGGCCCGGCCGGCCCCTTGGGCAGCGGGGGAGGGTTCCGGATCCGTCCGCGTTTCCCTGCGTCCTCTTGCGGCGCTCCGCGGCCCGGCCCAGCGGCCCTGGGTGCAAGCGTGCCCTGAGGTGGGGAAGCCTTACCGGGAGGCCTGCGCGCCTGTCCCCTGTCGGGAACGGCGAGCGTTTAAGAGGCTCGGCGTTTCGTCTCGACTTTTCTCGTTACAATTGGGTGCAATGTTGTCATTGGTGTGTGTCCCCCCCCAGCCTCCTGTGGCTTCATGGGGGACCAAGGTCTCCGACTTGTCAGAATGTCGAATCATTGTCTTGCAACTGTCTGCCGCTGCGAGTTTGACCTTGGTTTCTAAATGGTTAAGAAAATCTGTGCGCTAAACCTGGCCTTGGCTTGTGCACAGGTGGTGAGGTCAGATGACCAGCTGAGGTAGTTCAAAGTGATGGTGTCTGAAACGAATACATGTGATCTAGAGAACCGTCTATGAAATGAGTATCCATTACAAACTTCAGCTAATTAACCCCTTTTCCTTCTTACTCTGCCCACTGTTCAGAGGTGGCTCTTCAGCCTGTTAATTCCATGCTCTGCTTTTTCTGTTAGGCGTTATTAGCGTTTGAGGTATTGATCCATTAATGGATGACTTCACTGAGTTCTCAATTCACCGAGAAGAACATTAACACAGTCATGTTGGGTGTGTGCCTACAACCTTACCCATGCCCCCTGAAATCTCTCAGCATTCTAGCTTTATTGATTTGTGAAATTTAGGTCTTTTGTAAGGTGGACAAATTAGTTTCCTTTTTTTATAAAGCTAGGACAGTAATATACGATTTGGGTGGACTGATCTCTGCCTCTACATATTTACTGAACAACATACCTGTCTACGGAGTTATCTGTTATATGTTACTTTAGTTTTGTGTTGAATACATTGTATTAGTAGTGGAACAGAAAGGTATGTTTGCCATGGTGAACTGTCAGCAATAAGACTGAAGTTGTATGTGAATTGTGTATTGAAGGATGAGTGAATGAGTTAGGTGAGACTGTATATGTATCTATGACAGAACTGGAAAATTTAGTGAGAGTAACACTTTTGTTTACGTCATTTGACATTTTTACTGTAAGGTTGATGTAGGTGTCGCCTTTTAAAAGACAATCCAAATGTAAGTGAGTGTATGTGTGTTAGGAGCGTACTACAGCCGTGTCAAAGATGGCAACAGTTAGCATAGCAAAGCTACTGTCTCTTCGTTTGTCCTTTATTTGATGTTCTCCTTATGGTCAAACAAGGTGTGTGGTTCTTGGATAGTCAGTTGTGCACCTATTCTAAATAGATGAGGATTACAGATTTTCATTAAAATATTTGAACGATGGAGTTGCTAATGGAGAGATGGATCTAGTCAGTTCTTGTCTGTTCAGATATTTTACGTAATAGTTACAGTAACTTGTGTGATAGAAGATGGGTATGCGTGTCTGTGTTCTTTTTTTTCTCCTCTTCTCACAACACAAAGACCCTGACTCATTTCAGACCAATTTATTTGGCTGTCCCACTAAATCATTAATACCAAGTCACTTACTCTGTTCTGCGTGCGTGTGTGTGTGTATATAGATAGGTATCAGTCCACTGGAGAGTGGAAAGCCTTTTTAAAATTAGTAACCTGAAATATAAACCAATCCGGGCCCTATACCTGTCTTCTAGGTATTTTGTTTGTCCGTATTTCAGCCTGCTCTTAGGCCATACAGCTGGCTCGCTCTCCTTGCTGGTTTTCTTCTGCTTACTTCAAGGCCGTTTCCTCACAGTACATTGATGTTCTGTACCTGAACTTTGTACTTCCTGGTGCCAGTGGTCTACATATGTGGTAGACTGAGAGCATCCTTCCATAACTTGACTTTTATGTTGCGCAGGAATAACGGGTTGAGTTGTAGAGACCATGGATGGTATATAGGCCGTGGCTTTTTAAAATTACTGCACGGGAGAAGAAATTAATTCTGTGTGAGAAGGCCAAGGACTGCTGGTTTCCAACACATTTTTGGGCAGATTAAAAGTCTCAGAAACATGATGAAGAACTTGGTAGTTTGTGGATTATTGAATTAGTATTTGTCACTGAGCGAAGAGTTTGATTTTATTTCCTTGAAGTGGGAGTGAGTAAAGTACAACAACTGAAAAAAAGGTCAAATGTTTAGGAACACTGTCAGCATGACTAATTTGTGATTTTATTCACAACTGTGTGCAAAAACGTTGTAGTAGAATCTGGAAGATTAATGTGCAAAGGCTGTTGAATTTTTTGTTTGTTTTCCAGGAAACTATTTCAGGAGTGCTTGGATTTGGAGTTCTGCCTGTATGGCATCCCAAATTTCATGGCAGTAAGATGAACATGTAGAGTTTACAGTACTTGGAATACGTGACAATAAATAGAAATAGGTACTCATTCTTAAGTAGAACTGAGTTACCTCAGTTGTACTTGAAGTATTTATGCAGCGTTACTACAAACTTGTATATTAAACATGAGAGTATTCATCTTCTTTGTCAATATTTTCATCTATGTTTTTATATTTATCAATTTTTATTAATTTCACTGCTAGCTATAAAATAAAATGACCAAAAAAACCTGACACGTGGAATTGATGCAGGCTTCTACTACTGGAGCAGGTGGATAGCAGCGCATGGTATTGCGGGGCAACTTGTGGTGGTTGTCATGCTCACGTGGACTACAATGAGCTTCATTTCCTGACCATCGTGTAAAACTTAATATTCAGTTCTAATTTGCCTTTAACTGTCAAACTGTGGTTGCCTGGAATTTGCTGTGGTCAGATGTGCAGCTGAAGCAGAAAGAAATTTTAAAGTTATCTATTTATTTATTTATTAGATCTGTGGTAGAGGGGAGTTTTTTAGTGAATTTCTTAAATACATGGTCACAGTGAAGAAGAATGGTGAAATTCTGATATCTTATGTTCCCTTTTAAATACTCTGATTTGCACATTCTTCTTTTATTTCTTCCTTACTCCTACCCATTCTGTCCTAGTTAATCTAAACTTTCACAGTTCTTTCTCTTTTTCTCATCTCTCATCCTGGTAACATGTTCTGACCAGTAACGAGTCCCACACTATTACGCCCTTAATTCCCAACTCTTCATCCTAAATTTTGTCTATTTTTCTCCTTATTTTTCTTAGTTTATTTCCATAACTTACTTTCAAATGCTTCCTTTGCATTGAGCTTTGTAATGCCTTTCTTTTAGATCACTGAACCTTTGGGAGGGAGGAAAGAGCGTCTCATTTACTGTCATCTCTTCTGCCCTGCCCTGATCTGATCTCAGCAGAGCCCAAAGCAGTGACTGTGGGGCAAATCCTTGTCTCCAAGAAGGAGCATGACTAAGATGCATGAGGTTTTTAAAGGAGCGAGAACCTTGCTCTTGACTTCCACTGGTCAGATGTAACTTGATTCCTTTTTTTTTTTCCCCCAGGAGCCTGGAATTTGTTCAAATGTGGTATCCCTCATGCCTTTCCTCTCTAGCTTGTCTATTTGGCAAGAACCATTACACATACGATATAGTGTATGCTTTTAGATATAAGAACATCTGAAAGGCATAGTAAACATTCACTCCAGCATGGAGCTCTTGTTGCAAGCCAGGAGAATATGCAGAGAATGTATTCTTTTGATCACGTGTATGGTTTTTTTATCACTTCTTGAAAAATGGTGTTAATAAATGACTGCCCTATTTGTAGCCTGTTTAGACTAGAAGGTCTGTACTTCAGTGAAAAGTAGTCATCCATTCACCGTACTTTAGCGAAAAGTAGTTGCCCATTAGTAATGATACATGGAAAACATGCATTTGTGTCTTTTTATGGAGCCAAAGGCACTGATATGTTTCAGACATTTATAGAGACTTCCATTTGAATTTTCCATTTCTATTCGAAAAATTAAATATAGAAAAAAGTCTTTAAAGTATGGGAACGACTAAGAAACTGTGAGCCACTGCTTTTTCAGACATTTACAACTGTAGTTCATAAATCTAGGTTTAGGTCTCAGGCACATGTGTATCTGTTCTTGGGTTGTACTTTAATTTCTTGAGAAAGAAAAAGATAACGTAGAGGCGAGTTCTGCCTTGTAACTAGTGTTAAAGAAAATGGTTCTTGCAGCTGGCACAAGTCAGCTTATAAATCAAGGCATTGCTATAGTGATGCTTTCACAAATGTCCTGCTAGTTTTTGGACCTTGTTCAATTTATTTATTCAATTTAGTGTGTGATGGATCCCATTTACTTTTCACACCTGTGTAAGTAATTTGATCAGGCAAAAATACTTCATTACATGGTATCTGTCAGCCTGTGCTTGTTTTCAGCAAGCTATGTGTTCATTAAACAGGAAATTTTTGTGTTTAGTCTATTAACATACTTACTGCAGTAGAATAAACAAGCCTTGTACTTTTACTCAATAGCAGCAATGAGATGCTGCTGCCATTAAGAATAAAAACTTATTTGTTAATATTAAAAGAAAAAGAATTAATGCACAGCTAGAAGGATCTTTGAATGCTGATACTAGAAAATAAATTAATGTAATCTCTTCCACTAGTAGATAAGTGTATATGAAATACTAAATTGCTTCCACTGGGTGGCATTGCAAAACAAAGTATGACATACAAGCATATAACATTCAATGCCCCAAAATAATATGTTGATATAATTATTTTACATATTTTCTGGTATTGTAAAGTTCTTTCAATGTATTCAGTAAAACATCTAAAAATGGGGGGGAGGAGGCGTTTCTCACCCTTTTTTCTCTACTTTTTTTTTTCCAGTTCTGCTTTATAGTGTTTGATGGCAGATATAAGACTTCACTATTCATTTAAAGTATAAGTCTCTTGATAGTGCTCATTATTCAGAGGAGTTTGTTTGTTTGTTTGTTTTTGCAGTGCAGAGTAATAATTATAATAAGATCCAGTTAGGTCAGGGACATCTTGCTCCTTCTGTTCATTCTTATGAGTTGCTTTGTATTTAGTGCTTTTGCTTTTAAGTAAAGGTGGTGTGAGTGAAAATCTTTGCTTAATTATCTTTGAAATATTTGAGTCAAATTACTTTTTTTACATGGAGCTGGAGATAAATACAATTTTAGAAAAGTGGCATAATTTTCTTTGTACTGGTCTGAAACATCACACCTGACTAGGGTTGTTGGGAAATAATACTGAAAGCTGAGATTTAATTTATACATTCTGTATATTTGCTCTCTTTTCTGTTGTGACAGAGTATGAATCAATGTTCCTGGGTTTTAGTAGTGCAGATCTATTTATCAGAAACTTGAAGGAGACCATGTATCATTCTGTTGAATATAGCTGTCATTAACTGCTGCTTGTTAATTGAACCCAAAAAGTTGAAGCTAGTGAATTAGTCTGGGACTCTTAAAAACAAACAAACAAACAAACAAAAAACCAACACCCCCCC